CCCCCCCCCCCCACTAGGGCAGAGTGTGCAGTGAGCAGATCACACCTGTCCCACTTCTGTTTGTTCTTCCCCATGGTAGACTGGGATGCTGCTAAATGCACAAAGTTATGGGGGGCAGGAGAGGTGCCTTTTGTCTAAAAAGTTTGAGAATCACATTTGGGGGTTCCATTTTATGCTGATATTGTAGTTATCTTTTACGTTGTTTTGCTCTCTTGTCGCACTTCTGTTTTATGAGCTATTCTGTTCTCTTATTGTAAGTTGTCCTGAGCCATTGGGAAGGGTGGAATATAAATTGAATGCATAAATAAATAAAATAAGTGCTTCATAACATAATTGTATTCTCTTTAAGTTGTGAACCTGATCAAGAGCTTTCAGCGCTTTAGACCATTTGGTTCAGCCATCTGGATCATACTGCAAAAGCTCTGTCTCAAGCACTGGTGTTTGGGAGGAAATGAGAAGTGGGTACTTGCCCCAGCTTTGCTCCCTGGGCACAGAGCAGTAACAAGTGCAGGGTGCATGCATTCTGCATCGGTATCAGTACTGCCTTCCGTTTACCAACCACCTTTTGACAAGTGCCGTTGGGTCCACCAAGGCGTGCAGTGTTTTTATACTTGTCTTGCACTCTTATGTACGATGATTAGCACAGCTAATGACAAAGCAAAGAAAAGATTTCCACATGAAGATGATTCACAAGAGGGGTGGAGGAATGGGGGGAAGGGGGAAGCAAATTTTATGCTAGCTGTTATAATTAATATAGTTATTAGGGAATGTTATAATCGACTGCTGTAAAGAAAAGGCAGTCTGTTCTGTTAAGTCTGGTAGCAGCTAGCTACCCAGTTAATCAGAGTCTCCAGATTCTAGGCAAAGGAAGTTAAAGCATCCTTTCATTTCTGATGCATTTTGAATGCTAACCTATTTTACGTACTTGTCCCTTCACAATATTCTTATTTGAGAATTGTCCTTAGAAGCTTAACATATGCGTTGGAGAAAGCTAGGCTGAAAATGATTTTGCAGCTGTGATATCAGTCTCCAGTTGGAATCAGCATTTCAAAAACATACTGCACATAAAAGCGTTACTAACAGTAAAGACTTCTTAGACAGCATTTTAAAGTCTCAATTTTTGCTCAGAATGAACAGATTATTATCAGACTGTGCTGGTCTACCAAAGCTGAAACCTCTGTTTTAGACAACTTGTGTGCCCTTCTTGTCACTTAAAGTATAATGATTTAGTATGATTTTTATATTGTCTAAAATGCTCACTTGCTTCCATCTTCAGAGGGTATATCCAAAAGCAACAGTTACCCCCAGCTTCTTCATCTTCAATGTAAAATGTTAAGCCATTCATATTTGGATGTTAAAAGATTGATGTATATCTTAGTCACACTGCATATGCTTGGAAAGCTATTTTACCTTAGATCCGCTGAGTTCACCATTTAGCATTGTGCTTAAACTGCAAGGTTACTTGCTAATTGTTGGGCGAATGTCTCTTTACCTCTGGTGGAAACGAGTGACCACATTTGCAAAGAGGCAGGTATGTCAAATTAAAACTTTGTCAGATCACCTTTGTGCATAACTTTTTATGGATAGAAGTTATGAGCTACTCTGTACATGAGCACTACAATAAATAACTAATATTCTAGGGATCAGTACATAAGGGTAAACAATACGGTTGAAGAACAGACCTTAAGATGATTACATGTCTTACAAATGGTATACACGTAAAGTGAGACAGTACAATGGAGGAAAAGATCATCAAAAAGGGTGATTTTTGTGCTCTTATTCTCTCTGTATCAGTTTGCCAGCAAACATCGCAAGTTCAGATAGTATTGAAAATTAATGTTTTACGTCTACAGTGTGATCTTTATTGTGGTTTGGCTATAGATGCAGCATAGTTTCATTATTTCATTTCAAGTTAGATACTTCAAGGCACAATAAGTATTCTAGGCTCTCTTGTTTCTCTATGACTATATTAGTATGAGGGGTTGATACAAGTCCATTAAAACTTCTGTTTTCACGCACAAGAAATACATGAAGCATCATGGAATTCCCTACATGCTGGAACAGATTTATTTTCTTGAGTTCAAAAACTCACAAGCAGAGGAGGGTTATTACAATGGAAGGGAAGCTACTTGCTTTACTGTACAGTGAAGTGGGGAAATGAAAATTTGCCTTTCTTTTTTATTTATCCTTTTCTGTTTCTTGTTAAATTAATTATAATACCATAAATCGTATTGCTTACCAATTTTTGGACCAGTCTATACCAGGGGTTGGCAATCCCCAGCTTGCATAGCACGCACGGCCATTTTGCTTGGCATGCCACAGCCAGCCTGGTCTCTGGGCAGCTACCACCAGCTATAGAGCCTGTTTGGGCTGCTCTCACCAGGCGGACAGGCTCCATGATAGCTGTGCACACCTCCAGGCTGATGGTAGGGAACGGGCCTAGGGCAGCACAACCCCTGCCCCTCACTTGCTGTCCACCTAGAGGCGTGCGTGCAGCTGCCAGTGCCAGGAAACCTGGCCAAGGGCTCCAGAGCCTGGTACAGCTGTTTGCAGCCTCCTGGATACCTGCCACAATCAGCCTGGGATCTGGGCAATTGCAGTAGGTGGTGGGCAGGCTGCAAACAACTGCACCTGGCTCCAAAGCACTGGCACTAGCTCCATGGCAGTGGCAGCTTCTTGCATGCCTCTGAGACGGCAGGGGGGAGGGCTGAGGTTGCGCTGTCTTGGCCCCTTCCCTGCCCTGTGCTCCAAGGCATAGAGCTGGTGCCAGGACTCCAGAGCCCAGTGCAGCTCTTTGCAGCCTGCCTCCTGGCTGCTTCAGCTGCCCAGAGTCTGGGCCAGCTATGGAAGGCAGCCAAGAGGCTGTAAAGAACTGCACCAGGCTCCAGAGCACTGGCGCTGGCTTCTTGCCAGCAGCCAATGCATGCACACCCCGGGATGCAGGGCAGGGAAGGGTCTGGGGGAGAGCCACGCCACCCCCTCCCCTCTGTTCCCCTGCCCCACCATCTGCCTGGAGATGCACATGCAGCCGCCAGCAACAACAGGGATTAGGCCCCTTGCAACTCCCCTGCAGTCTGCCCCTCATACGCTAAGTCAAGGTATGGGTCAGGCTTGAGTTGTTTTTGGAACTCTGGCCAAAAATGTTGCCAACCCCTGGTTTATAGCTTTTTAATAGCTTTCCCGCATATCTGTTTCCACAGTGCAAAAAGTAGTTTTATCTCAGATACCAAAATCTAGCTATAGGCCTATGAATTTTTAAAATGTTGACTACCATGCTTGTTCAACTATAAAACGGAAGGTAATGCTTTTATAATTAGAAGGCGGTTGATTTCAGTGGGATCTAGGGGTGTGTAGCACCTTCTGATAAGATAATATATAATTTTTTTTTAGGTTCTTCAATAGAATAACCAACTTAAGGCATACAATTTTTAGCATTCTGGTTAGAAATATTTGGCATGTCCAAACTTTAAAGCAGAATCTCTGGAGAAAATAAGACCTGTAGTTTCTAAAGGTCCAATTTTTTCATAATTGCAAGGCTGTCATTTTGAAGTGTAAGATAAAGGAAATGCTATTTGGTCATATAACAATGATAAATGGGGTGCCCAAAATAGTCTTCTGTTATGCAAACAGATTTCATTTTTACTTTAAACTGAAAACAGCTAATTACTGCAATACAACCCAAGTTTTTTCAAGAATCAGTTTTAAAAAACCCTAAGGAAAATAAGATCTGTCTTTTGGTTTTGTTACAGGCATTTAGACCACCACAAACTATGGGACCCCAATGAATTTGCTGTCTCCTGCTTCAAAATCATCATGTATTCTATACAGGTGTGTTTAATTTAATTTAATTTTTCTTATAATTAAATTAAATACTGTCTCTCATACACATTCTGAGAACTAAACTAGCTGGGTTGTATGTTCATTACCTGTAATGGTGAGACTACTTTAAAGTGAAAAACTCAGAATGCCCCTGCCTAACATACCTTATAGAAAAATCTGTTCTAAACTCCAGTACATGGTGAGCCATTTAACCCTATATACATTCTCACCAAGAATCCCAATTATTCAGTATCTAATCCCATTAGTAGTGTGACTAGTAAATGTGCAGAAGAAAGAAGAACACTAGAACTGATTTTCTAATCATGAACTTGTATCCAAAAGGCATATCATTCCATCAAGTTATTTATTCAAGCTGCTGATAAGTTATTCAACCAATAATTGCTGGTCACCCAGGTACAATTTAAAAGAAGCCATTCTGAAAAAATTGAGATATGTAATGAAATTCCATCTAACCTACTATTTCTTTTTATGTAGATTTAGGCCAATTGAGTATAGAAGAGAAGAGTGCCATGATGCAAGATTTCAGTCAGCAATGAGGATTTGCTGACTTTGTGTGGATATATCTTTTATTGAAAAGAAAAGTTGCTTTCTTTTTTCTTCTACAGGCTCAATACTCCCATCATGTAATTCAGGAAATCCTGGGACACCTGGATGCTCGTAAAAAGGATTCACCACGAGTGCGAGCAGGGATTATTCAGGTTCTTTTGGAAGCAGTGGCCATTGCTGCTAAAGGATCCATAGGTGAGCTATATTCAATTATTGATACTGGACCAAAGGACTGTTTTTGTGAGTAGAAATGAATTCTACTGTATCACGTAACATACCACATGCCTCTAAATAAGACATTCAACTTCTTTTTGAAAAGTAATGTAGAGAAAAAAAATTCTAGAGTCACAGGCAGTTATGACATAGAGTAAGTCCTTCTCAAAGCGTAAAGTGTCCAGGAAGTGTGGCATCCCAGGAAATAGTCCGAGTGAGGCAGCCAGAACTTCTGGTGTGGCAGGGCAGCACAAGGCTAGGCCCTGGAACCATGCAAGGACAGTAGTAAGATTATTTTTTACAGGAACTGTATATAAAGAACTAGTTACAGTAAAGGAAGTAATAAAGTGTTGTTTCTACACCCGAAGTGTCATCAAGTAGCTCACCTGCCCTGTGCCCGTTCAGTTGCTGCTTCAGGTACAAGCTACAGTGCTCAGCCAATATCTATTGCAAAATCCTTACCAGCTGTGAGAGGATTAAAACTGGACTTTTCTCCTTCTATACATTGAACCGGGCCCCAGCTGTGGTAATCCAGATCCACGGTGAGACTTTAGAGAACATTGAATATTTCCTGTACCTTGGAATCCATCTCTCTCAGAAGGCTGTCATAGACAATCTTCGATTTCTTCATCTCAAATGTACAACTGCAGACTTTGAATGTCTGAAGAAACGGGTGTTTGAAGAACACGACATCAGATCTGAAACCAAGCTCATGGTTTATCATGCAGTCGTGATCCTCAGCTTGCTGTACCAAGCTGAGTAGTGGACAACGTACGGTAAAGTTGTTGAAGAAGGATCAATGCTTCCTGCGGAGGATCCTTCAAATCCAATAGGAAGAGAGCCATACTAACAGTAATGTCCTTCCGCAAGCAGACACCACGAGTATTGAGGCAATGATCATCCAGCATCAACTTGGTTGGGCTGGCCATGTCATCCACGTGTCTGATTCCAGACTCCCGAAGCAAGTTTTATTCTCCCATCTCAGCCAAGGCATGCGCTCAAGAGGAGGGCAGAGAAATCGCTTTGGGGACATCCTCAAGGCCAATTAAAAAAAATGCAACATTGATGTGAGCTCATGGGAGACTATCGCCCAGGACCATACCAAATGGAGGAAGTCTTCTGCAGGGATCTCAGCACTTTGAAACCTCACAGCAACAGCGGGAGATGGACAAGCAGGAGCAGCAGAAATAACATGTCATAGACCAAATCAAAGATCCAGCACCACCCACCCCACAAGGAAACACGTATCTGATAGGGCTGTGCAAAACAACACTGTTTCATTTTGACTTCTGTTTCTCCATTTCAAAGGGACAGTGTTTTGTGTCACTGTTTCGAAGCGCCGTTCTGTTTTGTTTTGTCAAAACTGTTTCAACACCATTTCGACATGTTTTGACATTTCACCCAATAGGTCTATAATGGGGAATCATGAAAACGTGTATAACCTTGTCACTTACTGCCTGATTTAAATGCCAGTTGCATGGATGGTAGCCCCTTCTGAGGGCATGAAGTCTGCCAACTTTCAAGGAGATAGGTGCAGGGGTTTCTGGGAAACTGCACCTCAAGCTGTTCAAAGCAAAACTCTTATCACTTGCCAGCAGTGGCAGCCTGCATGCAGAGCTGAGGGGCCATGCCCCCCCTGGAGGGCTGTGGGGCTGTGCCACACTCTTTCCGGGGGGTGCAGTCCCCCAGGTCTGCATGCAGGGTAGCCTGCTGTCAGTGGCAGCCTCCTGTCATCCTGCGTGCCCACACCCCCCAGGAAGAGTCCAGCACAGCTCCTCAGCCCTCCCAGGGTTTCACCAGGCTGCTGCTGCCAGCTGGGGAAATAGCCCTGAGTAGCTCCCATCACCAGCTGGCAGCGGTAGCCTGGTGTCATCCGGCATCATCGGGGGGCCTGCACCCCCCGGGAAGAACTGGGGAAAGCGATCAGAGAGCTTGCGGAAAGATCGGTGGAGCTGGGGAATCCAACAGGGAACTGGCCCAGGCCCTTGTTCACTTCCCCAGCCCCCTGTTTGCTTCCCCCGGCTCTCCAATCATTTCCCCAGCTCTTCCTGTGGGGCATGGGCCCCCAGATCTGCATGGTGGGTTTCAACAGGCTGCCGCTGCAGTTTGTAACAGCCTGTTGAAACCCCCGTCCCCTGGGAAGAGCTGGGGAAATGATCAGAGAGCTGGGGAAAGCAATCAGAGAGCTGGGAAATCGAACAGGGAGCTAGATGTCGATATCAGAGCAGTCCTTCCCCCTTCTTCCCACTCCCTCTCCTTAGTTGCTCTTTAGCTGCAAGCAAGCCCGGCTTTGAAACTCGAAATTTTCGAAACGTTCCAAGTGCCCTTATTTCATTGTGAAGCTGCTTCAGAGCCTTTTGTTTCATTTCAATTTTGCTGCTTCAAGCTCCAAACGTGTCGAAATAGCTTCAAAACGAAACACCCAGCAAAATTTCACACCGCCCTAATGTCTGAGCTGCATTAGAGCCTGTAAATCCCAGATAGGCCTCATCAGCTATCATTGGACACACAGATAAGACAATCATGGAAGACATCCTCAACTGCAAAGGATTGCCAGAGAAGAAGAATGCTGGACCAGTGAGAAGGGAGAGCTATTTTGACAGTCATTAAAGCACAGTATCTCCATGCTTCTTTTCAACAAAGAAAGGTCTGCTTTCCCACTTAAGACGTGGCTCCCTAGGTTTGGAGGGCTGACTTTTTGGGCAGTAAGGTATGCGAGGTATGTCAGTAAATGCAGTACCTTTTTGAAGTCTGACTCAAAGTTTTAGTCACCTGCAAGTGAATAAACTAACCCCATAGGCATTTTGAAAATCCCACTAGGCAACTCTCTATGACGGGTATCTTTAGAAAATGTTGGCAGTTTTTTTTAACCATTCAGTTCAGTAATGTTTTTCAGCTCTAACTCTATCATTTCTTTTTAAATGGATTGGGAAAGTTTTTTAGTTTACTTTCATTAGGTATCTTTCATTTGAAAACTACAAACATAAATCTGTATTGCTTTGTAGGCCCAACTGTCTTGGAGGTGTTTAACACCCTACTGAAGCACTTGCGTCTTAGCGTTGATTTTGAATTAGGAGACAGACGTAGTTCAGCTGACAGTGCCGTTGTCAGCACAGGCTCCAAAGAAAGTGATGAGAGGATTGTCCAGAATGCCATTATTCAAACAATTGGTGAGTTAAGGGTTCTTTGGGGTTTTTTTGGTTTTTGTTTTGTTTTTTCGTTTACTTGGGCACAAGCTCTTTAAAAAAAAAAAAAAAAAATGATGACATAGATGTCTTAAGTCAAAACCCAGAACCTCAGTAAAAAACATCCTACCTTTTTTATTCCTCCCTTTATTCTTCTCCCCACTGAGCTAAAAGGAAGAGTACAGATATCTGACTGGCCTAGTTTTTTGGTCCTAAGCTGAGTTTTCAGGACTGATGATTACAAAGTTTTCATTTACTTGTTACATGGGCATATACCTCAGTCACTGCAGCACGACGAGACTTAAACTATATAGGCCATATTTTTAGCATCACAGCATTGATACAGACTTTGAATACATAGGCAGAAAAGCCAGTTGCTTGTATTTATCTATGATATCCCTTGAAATATAGATTCGCCCTTTGATTTACATTAGAATCATGAAAATTTAGTCTTGTGGATCATTGATGCTATTAAATACTCCTGATATGAAACCTGCATGGGCATTACTGTATATAGTAGGAAATGTATTTTACTAGTTCTTTAAAAACTTATGGAAACCAATATTGAACATAGCTGCAACAATGACCCCTAATGGCCATTTGTGTATATACATGAATTACTGCATAAGAGAAATAAAATCTTATTTTGGCATAAGCTTCTGTAAATAATTCCATTAATATCATTTTCCTTTTGCTTCCCTCTGTTCTTTTAGTACTAACTGTGTTGCAGTACTTTTAATGAAAACAATTCCACTAGCCATTCCCCCAATTTAAGGTTTGAATCTCTCAAATCTTGTTCAGTAAGTCTACCCATTTCTTAAATCTTTATGCCATCATTCGGAGGACTCATTAATTATTTCTCAGTGCTGTAGTGAAACTGTGCTTTCTTGAGAGACATTTTTTATTATGGTTTTAGATTTCCTTCTAGCTCAAATATAAACTAGTGTTGGTATACAATGGTACATAAATGAAGGAAGAATATAGTCATATTCTTAGAAAAGTTCTTTCAGCACCCCATTCATGTCTGATAATAGCATAAAAGAGTGCAAAAGTAAGGAATTTAATTTTGTTCTAACTAAGAAAACTTCCAGCTCCTCAGGACTCCTGTTAACTAATAATTAATGTCAAATGTTCTAGTTTAAATCATATAATTACTCAGGAGGGATGAGAATAGCAAGTGTTTATCGGGGGGGGATGATGGAGTCGTGACAGGATGGTGTACACTAAGGAGCATAGTTGCACAGATAAGGGTGAATCATATATATTACAAAGCAGACTTTTTTTTTCAGAAGGTACTGGAGACTTGGGTAGAAGTGGGCATTTTATTCTTGTTTTAAGAGTAGCTGATATTTCGTCTCTCTTCAGTGCTTTCTCTTGCTTTTATTTAGGGTTTTTTGGAAGCAATCTTCCAGATTACCAGAGATCAGAGATTATGCTGTTCATCATGGGGAAAGTACCTGTTTTGGGGACATCTTCGCATTCATTGGATACAAGTTACCTTGGGTTTGTATGCTTTCCTACTTTTTATGATTATGAAGCCCTGGTAAAATGAAAAATTTTAAAACAAATTGAAATCTAAGATCCCAACTTCTGGGTTTAAATATCATTTATAAACCAGTCAAACACTGTGCCATCAATATGAACCTCATCTCCACAAGACACAGTTAATTAGAGTTCATTGAAAAACTCTCTCGACTGCACCTCCCCTTGCAGTAGTGTTCTGTGCTTCACAGTCCTACAGCTGTTTTGACGATTATCCACTTACTGTTTCATTAATTCCGTAAGTTTTTATGAAATGTGCTCTGTGAGCTAGATAGTTATCCTATGACTACAGATTGTTAGACAGTTGAATAATTCAAAAAATTTTCAGCTTCATTTTGTATTAATTGCTTTTCAGATTTGGTAGTAGTCATACTGAGGAATTTATACTGAACTTATGTCACTAGATCAGAGCTGTGACATGGTGCTGCTGTGGCCAAGTTAAAATGCACCACATGCCTTCTGTAGAGGCCGATTGGGATGCAGCTGTGGTCAGACCCTATGATCTTTCTGCAGCCCTTCCCAGTCTGGCCCTACATGCTCCTCCCAGAAAGAGAGGTGTAATGAGCAGGTCAGACTGTCTGGTTCCCTTCTGTTTCCAAGAGGAGCATGCAGGTTCAGACCAGGAAGGGCTGTTGGGAAAATTTGTTGCTCAGGCTGGTTTGTAACTGCCTTTTACCCTGCTCAGTCAGAGCAGTCCTGCTATGTTGGAACAGCTATTTGCGCTGCCTGACTGGAGGACCTGGGTGCAGGGACACCCTGGAGATATCCTGCTGTGATTTAAAAGTTAGACGTTGGTTTAAGTCTGTCATTTATGAGCTAATTTTTTTCTGTGACATTTTAACATAAAAAGGCTACATTTCCCCTTTATAAAAATAGTGATTAAGAGATCATTATTCATTTTAGGTATACTTGGTTACATGGTAACATCCTGAACAATCTCATTTTGGTTTAAATTGTAGGTCACCTAGAAGCGGATTATATTCGACTGATTTAGGTGCAGAAGTGGATTTAGGTGCTTAAGTGCAATTCTGTTCGCCCAGCTCAAACATTAGTTAATGCAAAAAGTGGGTCAGTCTTTCTTGCCGCTTTTTGTACTCAACCTTAATGCTAAGATGAGTATGGGCATGTCTACTCATACATTTGCTGCTGCACCAGTTTACTCGCAAGTAAATTACTTCCGAGTGAACAGTGCTGGGCAAGCATCTACATGTGCAGAGAGATGGAAGCAGATTTGCTGCCAATCTTCTCCCGCTTCCCAGGGCTCTGCAATGGGCGTCTACTGCCACGAGGGGACACTTCAGGCTCTGGTTGCAGCTGCCAGCAGCCCTCTTCAAAAGGCAGTCCCACTCACTGCTCTTTGGCCAGCCTCTTCCCTGACCAGAAGCAGCGTGTCCAGCCCAGGAACAGCACACAGCAGCACTCTCCTCCCTACCTGTGCCTCCCCACACTATGGCTGCTCCAGCCCCTGTCCCTGGCAGTGACAACCAGCGCCCCACGCTCCTGCTGGCCCACCATGCCAACTGCAGCCTGGCCCACAGCTGTCTTGCCCCTCCTGACTCCCCCATGCACAGCAACCACCTGCTATGTGCCATCCCAGGGACACCACCGCCCACCTGTCACCTCCACCCCTTCCACCTGGCTGCACCCTGGCCACTACTGGGGCCACTGTCACTTTCCAGGGCCTGCATCCCTGTAGCCTCTGGGGCGCTGGGGCAGCCAGGACTGGTGGCAGCACGTCGTCCAGCACACCCGGGACAATGAGCAGTGGCTAGAGGCCTTCAGGATGACCTGGGCCACCTTCTAGGATCTCTTGGAGTAGCTCCGGTCCTACCTGCAGTGTCAGCACACTGGCATGCAGCCACCTTTCCCCATGGACACCCAGCTAGCCCTTGTCCTGCTCAAGCTGTCCACACCTGCCAGCCTGCGGTATGTTTGTCACCTATTTGACATGGGCAAGGCCATTGCCAGGGAGGCAGTCTTGGCGGTGTGTGGCACCCTCCAGGACATATGCTAGGGCACACTGTGCTCCGCATGCATGATCCCCTGGCAGTGGTGGTGGGATTCCCCAAGCGCATCGGGGCCCTGGATGGGACCTATACCTGTCACTTGCCTGCCTCACAGTGACTGACCCCATTACAGCCAGAGGGGCTTTCACTCCATGGTGATCCAGGGCATCGTGGACCACCACGGGGCCTTCACACATGTGAGCACTGGTTGGGCAGGCAGTGCCCACAACACCCATGTTTTCCAGAACTCTAGCCTGCCCAGCCTGGTGGAGAGTGGACGCTTTGTGCCAGGGGTGCCGGACCTGCAGCAGGGTGCCAGGGCTGTCCCACCCCTCATCAGGGACCCTGTCCACCTGCTCCTGCCCTGGCTCATGTGGCCCTACACCAGCCACCTGGACCCCCGCCAAGCCCACTTTAACCACTGCCTGGGCTGGACCCATACCCTGGTAGAGCACACCTTCAACTTCCTCAAGGGATGCTGGAATACCCATACCTCCCACCTTAAATTCGCTGAGGACAACCTCTCATGGGTCACCCTCACAGCTTGTGTGCTGCGTGCCATCTACAAGGTCTTGTTCCATGAGGCCTGGGTGGAGGTGTGGCACGCAGAGGATGCCTGGCAGTGGGAGCACCACCTGTGGCACCCTCCCTCTCCCCGATCCCCCCACCGCTGAGGCCCCAGGAGAGCTGTGCACCTGCCAGTGGGGGCCAGGACACTGGCTGTAGAAGGTGCTGGCCAGCTGCCTCCTCCAGCACTTCCCGCTCTAACCCATCTGCACCACTGCCCACAGATTCCCCCACCCCTAGCACCACTGCTAGCTGCAGACATCTCACAAGAACAAGTTTTTATTCCCCTCGCATTAGAGTTCTCCCCAACAAACAGAGCCCCTCCACTACCCACCAACAATAAAACATCTTTTCCCCCATGAAAACTTTGTTCGGTGTCCTTTGTGTGCCATCCCAGGGTGGGGAGCCATGAAGTGGAGGCACCTGGGGCACAGAACCCAGGGACCGGGTAGCTGCAGGCCCTATAGAGCCATGAGACAGAGCTGCTTATGAGAGTTTGCAACATTTCTTAGGATTTCACGTTTTGTCTCTTCATGAGAGGGGTTGCCTTCTAAATATGGGCTGGACATAATGTGGCAATGAGGGCTATTCTAATAAAATAGTAAATATCAACTATTGACCGAGGTGAGTAGTACTTATCCAGTGGTCCGTAAAAGTTTAGTGTTCTCGAGCATGCTTAAATGATACTACCGACTAATGTATCCAGAACTAGATTTTCTGTTCCAAGAAGATAGTTTCTTTGTTTGAAGTGTCATTTTCTCTGAAGAGGCTTGATCTTCCTTTCTTGTTTCCTGCTTGCTGATGGGATTCATTCATAGGTAATCGAGCTGAAAATCTTGGAATCGTTTTGACAGTTTGTTCATAGTTCATTTGAAATATATTTCCAGGGTGTCCCATTTTTGCTTGAAAGTTTGTTCCAGCTGCCTCTATTTTGTGACAGTTTGAAAAGGCTTCATGCCCTCTTGTGAGAATGTGACTAAGGAGCTGTAATTCTTATTCCAGTATTTTGCGTTGTAGGATTTCTCCACCACTGACAGCTAGTTCAGAACGCAGTAGGAAAAAAATCTTGTTTTGGGTTATTATAACCAAATTGCACTCATACATTAGCAGGTCCATAAAGTAGTGAGTGGACTTGAGCTGGAAATACTAATTTTTGAAGTCCTTAATCTTGTTTCTCTTAAATATATTTGAGACCTGATTATTGAGCCTTATATCAGAGGGTACGTCCTTATCACCTGTGTTGATTCCTGTCACTGCTGAAAAAATTCATTCACCCAAAGCGAGTGCAACGTCAACATGCAAGCAAACTGAATGGCACTCTGCACGCTTGTCACAAGACCTCCTTGTATTGTAGTTCAGTCACAGTCTTCTGAGCTTTTATATTTGAGTGTTCAGCTTTAACGCACAGGATTTTAATACCCACAATTCCTTCTTAATTCTTTGGAAGTAGCAGCGCTTTGCACTTCTAAAAATTAGACCTAATTCACACTGTGTGGGGTATTTAAAATATAAATTTAATTCAGAATTAAGACACATCTGACATTTACACAGTCTTCACTTTACATAGTTTACTTATGACCTTCTCTGTTTAATTGCTTACTCAGTTATGTTTTCCTGTAACTATCCTTTTGAAACATTAAACAGTCATTTATTATATCTAATTAACTGATGTATTTGTGGTTGCATAGTATTTTGAAGATACACAGATGTATAGATTGAAACAATTTTTTTCTTTTTCTAGGGATTTGGGAACTAGGCGAATTCAGATCATGTTGCTGAGGTCTTTGATTATGGTAAGCCTCCTCTTACAGCGTATTTCCTAAAATACTGTATCTTCTCACATAGCACATGCCCTCAAATAAGATGAGCACCTTGTTTTTGGAAGGCAGAATATAGGGGGAAAAGAGATTTTTCCAACATCATGGTAGAGAGCTGAATGTGCCCTCAGCCAGCTCACTGGCTGCTTCAGGCACAAGGTACAGTGTTAACCCTTTCACAGCTGCTGCCAAATGTGGCTGCTCAGCCACAAGCTATTGCCAATCTTTTTCATCAGCAGCTGTAAAAGGGTTAAAATTGGACTTTGTCCCTGCTGCTTGCTGGCCTAGACAACAGTAGCAGCCATTATAGCACAGTGTCTTCCTACTTGTATTCCTCCATGCTTCTATTCCAGCAGAGACGATTAGTTTTTCTGTTTAAAACACGCACCAATTTTTGGAGGGCTCATTTTTGGGGGGGAAAAGGTACATGTGGTATGCAAGTAATTATGGTCATCTGTTCCCTTACAAAGTAAGAATAACTTATCTAACATATTTTGATTCTAACGTAATTATGACACAAAGCATGTGTTCACATTAACAAAATCTAAAATGACTGCTCTGGCCCAGTTACGTTATAATTTGCTTAGGTAGTAGTCCATTCCCCAGAGCATATATATCAGCCATAAATAGCTGGCAGGCCTGAAGAATTTGAGAGAATTTGGTTAGTTTTGTCAACAGTGCTAGCAGATTCCAAAATCACATTCTTTTCCTCTCCTTCACTAGAAAAGTCCCAATTGGTAGAGTGGTAAGTGCACCCTTTAAAGTATAATAGCAGATGTGGTGTATCATTAAACTTCTGTAACATCTTCTGAGGCATTTTTACTTGCACATAACACCTTAATTACCATCACTCAGGGAGTGCTGCTCTTCCCTAGGCCTTTCTCAGCACTTTAAAAGGTCTCATCATGAGTGTAGGTATTTTTCCTCTGGTAAATATGTTTTCTTAATGTTTGGAGGCTTTTTGCTCTTCAAGTGATGTGTTAAAACACCATATGCATTACTAAAATCCAGTTAGATTTATTCTTGCAGATTGGGGACGTGGGGGTAATGCTTATATGGACTTAGTTTGTGACTTGATTGTTTTTAGTGACTCCAGTGCTTAGGATGTGTTTTATTTAAATTATAGTAAGCTACTGCAACTCATAGAAATGCTTACTGTGATCTAAATAAAACAAATTGTAAGCATAACATGAAAAGGCCCAGAGTCTTTTACAGCGTGATGATTGCATACTAATTTTCCCCACAACCACTGCCTGCCTTGTTGCCAAGATGGACCTGCCATGGGGATGAATCAGAGTCGTATAGTGAAAATGAGGTGATAACTCAATTGAATGCTGAGAATTGTCTGTTAATTCTTGAAAATTCAGAAATAAATTTTCAAAAGTGTTCAATGTCTTCAATTGGTACAGAATTTTTAGAAGTGCTTAGCTAGTGGCCAGAATTTTAGACTTTCTTAACACAGTAACAGTGGCAATGCTACCTGCTGAGGACTCTTTAAAAAAGTTTTCCAGTTGTTGGGTATCATGCTGGGAACTGCTGGAACCTGGACTCTTAATCTTGTCCTAAAAGCACTGCATGAATTCTGAGCAGTGCACTTTCCTGTGGTCAGATAGAAAATCTGAATACATCACACTTTTCAACAGAAAGGTGAAGTTAGTGAGTTTTACACATAGTTGAATTAATATCACTCTCCAGCATAAGCATTGCTTGGTTAAACTTGTGGGTGCATTTTGTTATAGCTTGACTCTGGGTTATTTAGGCTCCCTCTTCATTGTTTTCATTTGCTCATCCGTTTTTTAAATTACTGGGTTTGGGTATTGAACTATTCCAGGTCTGCGCAGGCTTTCCTGAGAGAGAAGAAAATACTTCAGCTTTTTGAGTCTTCAAAGTAGACAGAGGTGTTTCCTGCTTAAAATAGAAAAACAAATTCTCATAATTCAGCATATACTTTACATAAATAGAGAGATTTAGAAAACCAGTGTTGTACAAAGTATCAGAAGTTGAAATTTCATCTGTCAAATAGCTGCATTATATTAGAATATTCAAGTGAAACTGGCTTGTTTTGACCAAGTTATAAGGGTTTGATAGAAGCACTTTTGTACTTAAATAATCTTTTCAGTCAGATTGTTTTGATATTGGTAAAGTCCAAAGGCTGGACTCATTGCAAATGGACACCTTCTTAGGAGTGCTTGACAGTGTGCGTGGTAGAGAGATTCCTTTGTTCTCTACTTGCTAGTTAAGGGACAGGTTAAAGGACACTAAATATCTTTAATCTGGTTTTGGTCTTTTTCAGTTTCCAGACTATTTCATTCTTTGTTCAGTCTGATAGTGTGTACAAGTATTGGATTAGATGTGCACTTGAAGGTCGTGTCTGCAACTGCTTTCATGGTGGCAGAACCCATACTGATGCAACTTTAAGACCAGGGCTTTATGCCATGATTCAGAGCTTGTTAATCAGTTGCACCTTGCCATTGACTCCAGTATACATTGGCTAGATAAGGATGTAATTGAGAAAAAAAATTGCAGTAATTATTGTCTTAAGTGCAGTCTTTGCATTAAGACCACCATGCAATATCTGGTCACAAATAATTTCAGTTTAAGAAATACTGCTTTCTTATAGGAAGGTGGGAAGGGATTAGAAAACTCTGCTGAAGAGAGAGAGCGAGCCACATCACAAACACTGCCACAAACCCTACTTATTCAGAAATAAAATGAGACTTATAAAGACTTCTTAAATGAAACATAAGTAGTGCTAATGTAAACAGTAATGTCCTTTTAAACAACAGGTGACTTCAGGATATAATGCAAAGACCATTACTGCTGCACTTCCTGCTGCATTTCTTGATCCTTTACTGTCTCCTTCACTTATGGAAGACTCTGAGCTAAGGCAGTTGGTCTTGGAAATATTGCATAATCTTATTGATCGGCATGACAACCGAGCAAAACTTAGAGGAATAAGGTAATACAGATAATCAATTATATTTTTTCAAACGCAATATTTTAATGCACTACTTTTCCAGACTTTAGGTTGCTGGAACTGGTTCTTTACACACAGTCCACAGATCTTTCTTGTTTATTCATTCCTATAAATCATTCTAATAATCTGCCTTGCTGTAACAAAATAGAAAGAGACAGTTAGAATGGTGGTTCCATATCCAAATGCTAATATACTATCTATTAAATGGTCATTCTGAATAGTTAATGGTTTAATTAATTTTGAAGTTGTATATTTTCTTCATGGAAGACAGTTTTTGCTCTGTAAAAGTGTTTTGTGCTTGAGTCATAATTACATTTATAGTTTTTCTCCTTTAACACTGAAAATTGAATGTCATTGTTAAACATGTAAAACATATTTAAAATGGAAATTAGTTCAAGAATGTTTTGAATAGTGTGTGTGTGTGTGTGTGTGCGCGTGCGTGCGTGCACATATGTAAACAATCACAGCCTGTTTTTCCCCATACATCTTTTTCTTTACAAATTTATAATTGGTAAGGTTGTCTTAATAAAATGATGTATTTGGTTGCCTCCAGAATTATACCAGATGTTTCTGATCTGAAGATAAAACGAGACAAAATTACACGGCAAGATGTGAGCTTCATGAAAAAGGTAATAACATGAAATAGTTAATTGTTTCCCTGAAGAAATAAGGGTGGGGGGAATTGAATAATTTAACTTGGGTTTGCTTCTACAGTATTTTAATATATAATTGCATATCTTTAGATTATGATTTGATTTTAATTTAAAGTGGCTTTAAAATATTTACACCACTTTGACTTTTAGAGACCACCTAATCTTGCATTTAGTGGAAAAACTTGCATGAGTAAAGTTGGGGTGGCGCATAAGTGTTTTCAGAACCAGGGCTCAAAACCCTGATGAGGCAAGGAAACTGCCTTTTGTGGAACTTCCATTATACTAATGTGGCCTTTCATACAGATTTAATTCCAAAGAACTTCTGTAAAAGTGCATTTCCAAATGAGAGTTGTTCATTACAAACTAGTCAGGGGGGGATCAGCAGGCACTGGGGAAGTCCCTGTTCCCCCGAACACTGCCAGGAGTGACCAGGAATAATGGTCACAAGCTGGTAGAGGGTAGATTTAGGCTAGATATCAGGAGGCGCTACTTCACGGTCAGGGCAGCTAAGGTCTGGAACCAACTTCCAAGAGAGGTGGTGCTGGTCCCTACCCTGGGGGTCTTTAAGAGGAGGTTAGATGAACACCTTGCTGGGGTCGTTTGACCCCAGTAATCTTTCCTGCCATAGCAGGGGGTCGGACTAGATGATCTACTCAGGTCCCTTCCGACCCTAGAAATTATGAAACTATCTTTTCCATGTGGTGTTTACATATTTTAACTGCATGCTGTTTTCACAGCGCTTTTAAAAAGGCTCATGTAAGGGCAAATTTGCAAGAAAATAGGAAAGTGAATTTTTGAAGAGCAACATTTTTTGATATCTTTGCAGTTTACTATCTCCTATTAATAAAAGTTGTCTTTATCCTTTAAGGCTTTGCTTTGCTGCTCTGATTTCTCATTGTGCCTGATCCCAAAATGATCATTCGTATCTATTTGTCATGAGTTTCTGGCTATGGAGATGTAAATATCTTTGTTAGTTATGTCATTGCAAGTCACAGAAAAAAATTGTATTGGTTGTAACAAAAAATAGTTTTTGTATGGAATAAATTCAAATCACAAGAGAAATATTCCTTTTAAACTTACTCAAATGCTGCTTTAGAGAAGCTATTACTTTCATCAGCCTGGAAAAGCTGATAGGAACTCTTTTAAAAATTGGAGTTGAAGTTAGATTATTCTTGGCTTTTTCAAGTATTCCATTTATTGATTTCAGTTTGATCTGAGGTTTCCTATATAGTATAACACTTCCTGGGACATAGTGAACTGTTTCATACAGCTTTTGTTTTTTAGAAAAAATCACTAAATCTAAGTAGGCTTTTAGAAATGTACCTCACTATGACTTGTTTGATTGATAGTCCATATCACAATTTCTTGTTATGTCTGAAATTAATGTTTTGCTGCTTATTAGATGTGAAAGAAGCATACTGATTTTGTATTTTTTATAATGATTTCTTCTTTAAAATTGTTGAAATTTCATTTGCCCAAAAATGCAAGTATTCTTTACATTACATTCAGATAAAATTGAGTTGAATCTTTACATAAATGTTGGATTTCCCATGCTTTTGCTTAAGTCAATACAGTCAGGATTCTATACAATATTCACATATACCTAGGCTTATATTTTTATAACATCAGAAATGAAGAGATCTCCAGCCTTAACAGTTTTAACAAGAAGAACAGGTTTAATACTTCAGAGAAGATTACCCTGTGCTACATTAAAAGTGTTTAACTGTTTGAGATGTATTAGTCCTCTGGTCTGTATGTGACACTGAGTTAGAAAGGGATTGCTTTTTGTCTTTATTCTGGTAGTCAAAGGCCAAATTTAGGTAGAGAAATCCATGTCATAGTAAGCCCAACTCATTGCAAGGCCTGCACCTTTTATTTTCAAGCCCAAGAGATATTTTGGCTTCAAAGATGTTCATGATTTCATTTTTATTTCCTAAAATTCAGTCTCTCTAGCCTGGATGAATCATCTTTGACATGTGTATTACATGGCATAGTGATTCTCAACTAGGGTGCCGTGGCACTTTGGAATGCCATGGGAACATTTTAACAGTGCTGCACAATATTAACATTGGTAGGTGTGCAAACACGATTCACAGGATAAATCCAGAGATTTCAAATTAGAATCCACAATGTCAAAAACATTCTGACATTTATGGTTTTTATGAGTTCTTTGCAACAGAATTTTTCTGTAATCAAGAAACGAATGAAAGCTAAGAACTGAATTTTCCAAGAGGTGCCTTGAGACTAATGTGGTTCAGAACAACTGACAGTATTTTTTGTAAAAACTTTGGGTCACAACTATTTAAAGAACATTATGCAAGTTAAAGCATTTCCCACCTTGGATATCTTTGAGAAGCTGAAGTTTGAGTTTAATGTAGGTGAAAATGTACAAATTATCAGCATTCATATATCAGTATAAATACAAGATGAAATTAGGCCAATAATTTACCCCACTCTGAATACTTTATTTCCTATATTTAATAAAACCTTTTTCCCTCTTGAAGACTTTGCTACAAGTTTCTTTGTTTATCTCTATGAGCTTCTAGAGCTCAAGTGAAAGTTGAGCTCTGTAGCTGCCAGCTGATATACATTTATATCTTCTATGGATTCAGTACACAAAACTTCTAAATCATTCTTGCCCCATTCTACTATATCATTTTGGGGTTTTTTCCTTGAAATACAAATTCTTAAAGCTATTTTTGTGATATAAAAAGCAAAACCTTTCTGTTTAGTTGGGAAAGTTATTGGATTAGTTTTCGGGGTATCGGGTGACCTTTCTCAGGCCTTTGTGATGCTGAAGACATGTCTTGAAAGCATAGGTTGATAGTTACAGATCCTTATTCTTGTTTGGTTCTCTATTCAAGATGATAAGGCATGCATTTTTCAATTATATATAAGTTCTGTATTGAAAATGATTTAGGCATATGAGTGTCACTGCAGTTTGTCTGCAGACCTTTCTTTTGAAAAAGGGACTAAGGTTCTTTATTTAAGAGTGTTTAAAAATTTTACGTAACATATGTTGTTCACTTACTCCATTCCTATAAATTGGTGTAAGATAACTGAGTACTTCACCTGAATGTAAACATTGTACTGAGCAGATAGAATTAATGTGTGATTTGTGTCGTTTCGGGTTTGCATGTTACTCTAAAATTCCAATCAAGGTGCAAAATGAGTGCTTTTTGTTTAATCTCATGTTTTGCATATATTTTAAAGTAGTCTCTAAACACGATGCTCACAATCTTTTTCTTCCTTTTTAGCATGGACAGCAGTTGTACAGGCACATTTACTTAGGCTGTAAAGAAGACGACAATGTTGAAAAGAACTTTGAACTGCTGTACACATCTCTAGCACTTACCACGATCGAACTAGCTAATGAAGAAGTGGTTATTGACCTCATTCGACTGGCCATTGCTTTGCAGGTATGCTTCTGAAATGAAGGTGTGTGGATGGCATCCTTAAATGTATACATTAACACTCAAACCTGCAACCACACCATTCCATCCAAATCTAATCAAAAAATAATTGATGCAGAAGATACCAAATGAGCTAAGATATCCTTTCCTTGTGTGGCTGTCACCAAAATTAGTATCAATTTCAGTTCTATACATTCTTTCCCCAAAGCTTACCAGACTCTCAAAGACGACCTGGAAATTTACTGCTGCTCCTAGAGGTCCTATTTTATCTGCAGTGATAAAATGAAAATTGACATTATCGGCAACTAGCCTTTTTTAGCTGATGTGGCCGATAATGTCACTGATGCACACAGCCAGAAGTGCAGCCTGGCAGCTTAGAGACAAGTGTCTGGCCAGTACGTTTGTGGGGAGGAAGGGGCTTGGAGAGGGAAGGGGCATGGTGGGGCAGATCAAGGCTCCCATGGTGAGGGAGGGAGTGGGCCTGGGGCTGCAGCAGGAGCAGGCACTGCGCAGCCGGGGCACAGGACAGTCACGGCTCATCTAGGGGTGTGCAGGGTAGCTCTCACCGTTGTGCATACCTGTGGGGGAGGCAAGGAGGGGCATGTGCCCCCTGGACATGTGTGTAGGGTGAGGGCAGGCTGCCTACTGGGCACTCAGGGCTGGTACTGGGCTCTTCTGAGTGGAGGGGAGGGCTGGGCTGAGACCTGTGCTTGGGGTGGGCAGCAGCAGCACTGGGAGGAGGACTATGGGGGGAGCTACAGCCACCGCAAAATTCACTATAACCCCCACTCCCAGCGCCGCTCCCTGCCCCACCCACCCCAGGTGCAGCCCCAGCCCAGCCTTCATCCTCCTACCAGGAAGAGCCTGGCCCAAAATGTGCAGTGCACAGATCTGACAGGCACATGCCCCCCATGCTTCCTCCAGGGGTGCATGCAGTAGCAGGAGCCACCCCTCCCCCACACCCCCTGACAAGCCCTCACAGCTCCATCCCCTGCCCTGCCCTGGCTGTGCAGCCCCTGCCTCTGCCCCAGCCCCACTCACTTCCTCGCCATGGGGGCCTTGATCTGCCTCCCACACCCCTCCCCACCACAGACTTACCAGCCTGAAGCTAC